TTAACCCTGGTTGATTTAGGAGCATTGGAATTAAGGTGTTAAAGATGTTGCTTTTTGCTTGCATTTAATCCATAAAAAGCTCTGCAATAATAACCTTTTGAAGTATAATTTTAGAATATTACTTGTATCCTTGAAACTATTGCTTTGGAATATATATAAAGGAAATATGCTTATCTCATGCCTTGTTGAAGCAGAGAAAAACAGCTTGAGAAAGGAAGATGAACATCACCTCAAGGGTTTCTGGTTTCGACCAAAGGGAAGCTGGACATCACTGTTATGAGATTTATAGTCTCTGCAATTAAAAGGTGGACACACATCTGGGGAGCTGGACCCCACCAGATGGGATTTGTCTTTCTTCTTTCGGAAACTGGACCGTCACCATCTGGGGATACTCCTTTGAGATACATCCTGAGAAATTAAAATCACAATAGTGTATAGAATTGTGATGTAATAATTTGGAATAAAAATTGCTGATGAGTAAAAGATTGGAAATAGAAACTGCTGGAAAAAAACTGATGAGTACCCCTATAAATACCTGTAACCATCAATTATCAGTGTGCAGTTGGAGGGAAAGCTTCCCCCACTGTACCCAGCGCTGTATTGCTCATACTTTACCATATTAAATAATAAATTGATTGCTGCTTGAATATTGGCCTAGTCAAGCTTCTCATTCATAACAGGCTGACAGACAGGGACCTCAGCCCATTCATTCCCTCCCTCCCCAAGCTGCAGACACCTCGCTGCTCGCAGCTGGGCACAGCACAGCAGAGCAGTGACCGGGTTTGTTTTGACCCTTTGTGGTCCAGATTCAGAAACTTTTTTCACCAATTTCTGCAATCAAGTGAAATATTGTGACAGGAAAATTAAACACTGATGGTTTAATCAATATGGCCACAACAGAATATTTATAACTGAGCCACAGAACAACATTAACAAAGGATATATGAGAGTAAGCAATACCACTGTGCTGATTCAAATTATTGCTCGCTGATTATTTTGAGAATTCAATATCCTCTCTTTTGACATGTTGTTCTGCCTTCACTTTCAAATTACTATTATCAAATTCAACTTGGGTGCAACACTAACATCATCAGTCCAGCTCAACAACCGCTCTGAAGCCTGGCAAGTGTGTGGAACACGTTCAGCTGGAACACTGCCTGACATAATAGAGCTGGGACACTGCTTTTTATAAGAGGAGACTCACTGAAGTTGAACTCATGACTGGATTCAAGACAACCTACATTTTTTTAAAAACACTTTTTCCTTAATTTGGAGAGAAGTAAACTTTTCGTTACACAGGTAATTTCATAGCATGTGTCTTTGAATGCAAGAAGTTACCTTTTTTAAATGAAAAGGAAATAGTCATGAATCTTCCTTATGCTATAAATATCTTTTAGAAGAGCAATGTTAAAATAAACAGGAAGGGACACCCCTGTTTTCATACATGAAAGCAATGGAAGAATGAAAGATTTGGACTACTGATTGTAATGAGATCCAGGCATGTGGATGCCAGATTCCTCCAAGAATTAGGGTGGCTGAATAACCAGCAAATTCAGACAGATTAGCATCACTTGTTTTAGCCCCAGGAACAAATCAGCAGGAAATTGGCAAAAAGCTGTGAGCCAGGAATTTCTGTGGTATCTGCATTAACTTTTTATAAATTTTGTTTACACATATTTTAACAAGTTATTTGGAGCAGTAAATAAAATAACTGATGAAGATTTGCAAAAGGATGCAATGGTACTAGATGACTAAATAGTAGCAGTGATGAAATTCAGTCTAGAGAGATCAAAAGTGAGTATTTTGTGAGGAAACAACCAACAGTTCCTGTGATTCTATAAAATATCTTCACTGTATTGATTACCATGCACAGTTCTGCCCTTCCACCTCATGGGCTGCAAGGTGCTGAAAAAGGTACAGGGAAAGGAGCAAGTGGATCTTTTTGTGGCTTCCAAATAAGGACATTTTTAAAAGACCAGAAATACTTTGAAAACAATAAAAAATGAAAGAATAAGTGGCATGGAGAAGGAAAAAAAAGGGACTGGTGTTCATTTTCCCTTATGATAGCAGAATTCATAGACAGCAAAAGAAAAGATCATATGTGGGGGTAGTCAGGGTGTGACAGTCTTTAGCACAGGATGCTCAAGATGCCAGAGGTTTACAGTGGGCTCAGACCCACACCTGGAGCCCTTTACAGGCAGAAATGCACACTGACAATGCAAATAGGTTTTTTCCTTAACTTTTGTTCCCCTAGACAGAACCTAGGGATTGCCAGCATCTGAGCTGGTTTCCACCTCTCAAAGCTTGCAACAGCTCTGCTGTGTTGGGCATGCCCCACAAAGGCTACTTGTACCTGACAAGAGAAAAAACCACCTTTTTTAATCTGCTAAATAAGATATTGTGCATTTAACAATATGCACAGTCTTGTCTGCTTCACTGGCCTTTGCTCTATCAGCTGGTGCCCACAAGCCACCCAACTCCCTGGATGTCACAACTACACCCAGATGCTAAAACTGCTCTCATAGCTGGATTTCAAAAGCCTGATGTCTCATCTCCCTCAGCACCAGCCTTCTCTGGTACAGTTACTGTTCTGGGCCTTTTTTGCAACATTTTTCTTAGTTGTTTAGCTTTTAAAATGTTTTAACTACATCTATTGTCTCGTAGTATTCCACAGCCAGGTACATGCCACCCATGATCTGACATTTCAGTACTTAAATTTATTTTCAGTAGCAGAGATGAAGCCCACTTCTGCAATAGCACAGCTGACTGGCTTTTGGAGCTGTATTCCAGAACATCCAAGCTGTAAGGGGATTTGTTTGTTGGCTCTTGTACCAGGGCAGGAAATAAACAAGCAAGGATAGAATGTGAGGCCTCCCCTGCAAACATGCAGCTCATAGGTCTCATTTAAGAATCCCCTAATAAAATACAATAATGCTTGGCAATTTCCTCCTAAGTTATGGGAATTTTGTACTGGATTGGGTCTTGAATTCACCTGTTATCCAACTAATATTACAGAGAGCTACCATATTTCTCTCACTTCCATGATACTGTCAGAAACCACTAAATTTTTCTTTAAAATGAGATCAATCTGTTTATCTCCACAAAGCCCTTTCGTGGGCACTTGTTTAGCTGATAGGTTTTTTTCATTTTTGTTCTGTTTTACCTCAGAGAGGCTCACAGTTGATGGATACAGTACAACTACCACCTAATTAATTTGCTGGAGAGTTTAGCAGTTGATATATACAGTTTATCAAAAACCCATCAATCCAGCTCTTGCTTAGAGATACTGGTAAGGGCATTAAAACAATGTAAGCAACTTTTAAGTAAGATACTTAGTTCTACTAGATATCCAGAAGATAACATAAAGTAAAATTGAAGTTAATTTGAATAGCAGCCCATGATATAACCCCCAGTAAAGTGACATTTGGAACAACTAATTCAACAATAGGAGGTGGCACTGTGTAAGGTCTCTCTTTAGAAGGAAGTTTTCTTCACTGTAGGCAGCACACTGAGTCACAGCATAAATATAAATACGTACACACACCCTGTGCATTCACACATGCAGCAAGATCAGGCTGTGGATTTTCCAGGCACAGTGAATCTGTGCAGCCATCAGTCTCTCTAATCACACACCCACACTCATGGCCAGCTAGCTCTTGCATTTGGGACATAAATTCAAACCCATGAAAGAAAACTAATACTGGATTTTATGCTTAGGTCTTCCAAAATGAATCATGATTTGAGTATTTCAGCTGGACTCAGAAATTCTGTCAAGTTATTTGGTCTTCAGTGATCACCTGTTCTTTCTAAAAATGAAGTCACTTCAGGATGGTTTAGCTTCAGTATTAAAAATCAGAAAAGCCTGCAACTTTGAGTTTGTGCTTCAGCTGTCATTTCATTTTGCAGCATGGTCAAAATCAGATACTCTTGTAAGTCAAAAATAACAACTTTTCTTATTCTGTAATCACATGGCCATGAAGAGAAACGTAAATGCAATACCCTAGTTTTACTTTAGCTCTTTACCTACTCTTCTTTCATTATCTCTAGGTCACTCAAGATTAATTATTAATTCTGAGCCAAGTAGTTTTCCTGAGTAAATTTTCAGCTGCAGAATGAATTCATTGATTTTTTCCCATCTTTGCATTACTGCACACAAAAGCATCAAAAGCTAAAAAACCCCACAAAAATTACTAATGCATTCCTTCCAGGCACTTGAGATGACGCTGCTGTGAATTTTTGACTTTAGTATTCCAGCAGCGTTCCAAGCTCCAGTTCAAATGAGTTTAGGTCAGCGTACATTTAGTCACATTTGCAGGACTGGTTGTCCAACAAATGAAAATCTCCTCCCAGTTGTATTTGCAAATCTCTTAGTGCTGGAGAAGTATCATTTGTGAGCAACAAGGAAGCAGATCCTTCAGAAATGAATGCTGAGTCTCCAGTGTGTGCAGGGGATTCATTCAGCATGCAGGCAGGAGCTGGGCTCACTGGTTCCTGGGGGTCCTTTCCAACCCAGAATATTCAATGACTGTGCAGTGAGCTCCTGCCTCTAAGCTGGGTCAGAGCCCATTGCCCCTTCAGCAGATCACAGGTCACAGACTTTCCAAGGGAGAAAGCTGGCCAACAACTGGCACCAACACAGTGCCTCCTGTTCTTTGGGCAGCAGGATCTGAACACTGTGAGCTAATACTCCCAGAAACACACATTTAGTCAAATTCCCACTGAACACCTTGGTGGAAAGGCTTACACTGATTTCTCAAATTACAATTCCACACCATCTGATTTCTGTGCAATGAAATGCTATGCAAGGACAAAGCACTCTGTCTCACTACATACCATTATAAGAAAATGGAGTACATTTACTATTACCCAAGGCCATTTATTTATTCCTTCCTGAAATGCCAGCCTTAAAACATTTTTCGATATCTGCCAGCAAAGGGAGTGCTCAGTGGCAAGTCCCTTACACCATATATTCCAAACAAGTGCAATTCCATCCAACATACCTCCACAAGCCTGCTGGTATGTTCTCGAAATATAGCAGCATACTCCTTTATTTCTTTCTCTCTTCCATTTTTAGCAGCTTCAATGAGAACCAGCAGAGGAACAGTGGTGTCTAAGAAGGAGTCTGAGATGTGATCTATAATGGCTTTTCTGAGCTGTAAAAGAAAGCAGTACATCAGTACCTGCTAACTGAGCATCCATTAAAGTCTGCTGGAATTATTGTCCCTTCCTGTTTGTACCACAGACACATCCACACTGTATTCATGCATTATTTACACCATGGGGCTGAAACCTGTGGCAGCTACAATTCATGCATTAAACACAGAAAACTGGATTTAATTCTAAGGAAAGCTTTAATATGCCACTAGGTAAATATGCCCGTTTGTAAGTGTTTGTACAGATCCATAAAACACTACATCATATACTGTTCTCTTGAAATCAAGGGAGCCAAACTAATATTCCCCTTCCCTGATGAATAGGCTACTTAAGTGATTGCACATGTGAAAAATTAGTTAGCCCAGACCTCATCTCTCCTGGGTATTCTCCCTTGTAATTCAGATGCCAAGGGAGAAGGCTATTTAATTTTACAAAGAAAATATTAATTCAATCATGTTTGTACTCACAAAATAGCTGCATCCCATGATTTCATAATTGCAAAATTACCCAAGTATTTTCTTTCTGGGAAACACAGTCTGGTTTGCAGAATGGCAGCCTTCATGGTAATTATGTCAATGAGATTACTGATTATGCCACCTGATAATGTATTAACAGAGCAAGAAGATCTATAAATGAGGCTGGAGTTCAATTTTCTCTGCTTAAATTAATTGTTCTTGAACTTCTAACTTAAATTATTCAAGAAGTATAACATTCTGCTATAAATTAGGTGTCTTAAATTAGCTTCACAGCAGCTTGTAACCAATCACTGGGACATTTCTTACTTAAGAGGTTATTTTGCATGTTACCTACACATGACAGCTGTTCATTTACACCATGCAGCAGTGCAGCAAACATACCAACTGGAACAACACATGAAATGCAGCTTAATGATCAAATGCACAGAATCTCCCACTCCAGATCCAGTGTTTTTAAATATATAGAAAAGATATTGATTGGAACAGAAAAGGACACTAAATGTTTTTAAGCTCATCACACTGTTGCCAAAGTACTGTTTTCACTTGGCATTTTGCTCCAATATATCTCTGTGAAAACTCAGTAGAAGTAAAAAACCTCAGTAGAAGTAAAAAACCAGGAGAAAAATAGAAAAAAACCCACAATATTTTTGATGCTCTGCTGTGTTTGAAGTAGAGCAGTGACCATGCAGAGCAGAAAGAACAGTGGAGAAATCTGCTGATTATCAGACAACATCTGAATATGAATTCCACCACTAACTTTTGGGTAGCCTCACTGAAAGTCAGCTCTCCTTGACTCACCAGGGGGACACAAACCTTCCAAACAAACACAGGCAATCCATGTTTGGAATGGTTTCTTTGTCTAACCTACTGCAGCCCATCACATTAGGATATACTGTCTGGATACACGGTATGTTCTCCAAAGTAATTTACAAACACAGAGGCTGTGGGATTCCAACACAAAATAGGATTTCTTACATTCTCAGCTTCATTCAGGCTGAAATTAAACACTAAAAAACTATTTTAGAAAGTTTCACTACCAGAAATAAAATACATCAAACCTCCAGTCCTGCCAAGTTACCCACTAAGACTTCTCTGTTGTAAAGGCTCCACTGAGGAAAACAGATATTCTTGCCTGTTTAAAATTAGGTACATAAATGTGACCTTGGAGAGTCACAATTTAAAAATTAAGATTTCAATTTACAAAAAACAACAACAACAAGTGGAACCATCATATCCATGGCCAATGACTGATTATCTCCAGCAGAAATATTCTGGAGTTCTGTACAGCCCAGAGTGCAGGACTTTCACAGCCTTAGCACACTGTCACTACAACAACCTCAGGCACATTTGTGGTGAGCTTGAAATACCCAATTTCAAACCAGCAGCCTAATTTTATCTCTCATTGCATAATTCTTTGCTACAGCTTTTCACTGGTTTTCTTGGCTTAATTAACCTTTCACACAGAAATTATCATTCCTGCTTCGTTCTAAGAAATGCTCTACCCTGCAATTACACGGCAAATTGCATCTTCTTCAAAAAACAAAGATAATGCTGTGTCTTTGCTGAACACAAACAAGTCTGAAATTATGTTCCTGTTGCTGTTCTGCAAAGAATACATGAAGCTGGGAGTTGCAAAGGATGGCTTGTGTAGCATTAAAGAACAAAGAAACACAACATAGAAGAAAAAAGAAAAAGACAAAATAAAAAAGGAGTATCTGAGGCAATATCTATTTCTTTTCATGCTAACTCTAACAAGCATCTCTTCCATGACTCAGTAAGTCTGTTTCTGACTCTGGCCACCTGTAGGGCAAAATGCTGAAAGCTAAGCAGGCAGAAGGGAGGCAGATGAACAAAGGAAGGCACCAGTAGTGCCAGCATGCAATGCTAGGGAAGTTATTGTGCTATAATTAAACTTCTCATATTTTTAAGTGAAAGAGACACAAGTAGAAGAGGGAAAGGAGGGGGAGGATGATGTCTGACAAATTGTTTTCTTCTGAAGATGCAAGGTCTTACCCTTTGAGCAGACTGTTACAGAAGCATGGACAATTTTTGGTTTTGATATCCAAATGCATTAAAAAAATAACACAGGAATACATCATTTATAAAACATGGGGCATAAGGCTGTCAAAAACAGTGAGGGCAGAGAAAAAAATGCCAGCAGCTGTTTGCAACACTATTCACCATCAGTACTGATGAGCACAGAAAACTCAGTTTGCCTCTACTCACCTCTTGCCTTACAGACTACCCTGGCAGAAGTCCTGGGCAAAGCTCAGAGCAGTTACTGCTGAGGGATCTCCCTTTCCCCTTCCAAAGGGGAGCCAGGAAGGCCATGTCCTTTGTGTCCAGAAACAGCTACCCATGATGAAGAAGTTACATAAAAATACAAGAATATCACCAGGAACAACATTTATTAAAGCAGCCAGAACTGCAGAACAAGCACAGGAGAAACATCTGTGCAGTCCATTCATGCTGCACTGGGAAAGAACTGGGAGGCAAGAACTGAGTATGGTAATTTCACATAATTACACATTGGAATGGATAGGCAATTCCTTCCTAAATATTTGTAAGCTCTCCTCAGCAGGCAAGCAGTGATCCAGGTAAAGCTGCACATGCAGAAGTGACACACATATCCTCCAGCACAAGTACAAATCCAAACAAAGCTGAGCAGCTTAGAATCCCCAGAAGTACTGGCCAAGCTCCTGAAACGAGTGCAAGTAAGTTCCCTTGAAAAGCTGGAGAGTTTCTACAGCTCCCAGAAGATCCTGCTCTGGGGACAGCTGCTTTAGCCTTCAGCCTTCTTCATTCCCCTTGCTGGGATGTGCAAGGTGCTCCAAAGGGCCCCTGGCATCACCCACAGCCAGGCTGCTGCCTGGGACAGCACCTCTCTGATGGGGCACTACTGCAGAGATTTTAAAAACACAGCTTTATAAGGTCTCATCTTTAACCCAAATTTTGCAGAGGCAGTCCCAGTGAGGACTGAAAGCAGAGTACACTTCAGAGCACAGCCCTGAAAGCACTGAGAGTGCCTGACACAATGCCAGCAAAGGTACACACAGCACCATTAAAAATACAGCATTAGGAAAGCTGCAAGAGTAGAGCAAACAACACTTTTCATGTTTCTTGTAAAATTGCTGGGAGACAGAGTAATGAATGTCTGTTATGTGAAAGCAAATAAGACTCTACCGCAATATCTGCAAGCACAAAATTCACAACTTCATGTCTCCCAGAACAGGAATTAGGCATGCAGTAAACACTCTTCCTAAAACAATTCTTATGCAATTCATGTGTATGAACATAGAATTGGAGGAAAGATATAAAATATTTCTCATAAATGCTTTCCAGTGGAAAAAAATGTCAAGCAGCACAGAGCTGTTCTGGTAAAAGGAAATTACTGGTTCTAGATTGACTATAAATTGGGCATGATTACATTCAGCCTGAACATTTTCCAAAGGTTTACAGAAAGACACAAATTGAATCAGTTAACAGCTTTTAACCACTGTAACAGAGTCAATAAAGTGTTTTAAGCTGGAGTTTAATTAACTCACGGAAGGAAATGAATGGAAGGGTTGTAGACACACTGAGCTGGTGATGCAGGTCTCTGCACTGAACACATCTGGGACAGAATGTAAGCAGACACTGGATAGCTACTTGGTTGTAAACACTGTATTTATATTACACTCTTCTCATTTCTCAAGGCCTCCCCTGGCTGATTATGGGAGCAGGAAGGAATTGATTCCTCATCTTGAAGCACAGGCTGGCTTGCAAGATGAACCCAAAGCTGGGGGGGACAGTCTTCCACCAGGGAGATGATCAACAGCCCAAGCTGCAAGCAGCATGAGAGAGGTGTGCTCACGTTCTCTGTAAACTTTCATGCACTTGGTTGGGGCAGCCTGGCTCAAAGAACTACTGACTTTCTAGGGGTTTTCTTTTTGAAGGGCACATTATACACACCCAGCATATTCTGCAGTTTTCTCAAAGATATTTATTACAGAGAAAGGGTATAAACACAGCTGATGTCCACTGCTAACCTTCTGCCCTTCACTGGTCCACATCTCACACTGGTTTTAGGACACTGGGATGTAAAATGGGGGGTACAGTGTGGACTGGGCATTCCAGGGACCCTCTGTGGGGTGAGAGTTCTCACAGCTGTAAACACCCACACACACACAGTGACTCTGTAGTTCCTCCAAGGTGTCTGTTCCAACAACCTGTAATAATTCAAGCTTATTGAAAATTAAACAAATCTTGATGGCTAGAGTACATTGCTGATATATATCTACAGCAAATATATTTAGACATGCATACATACAGATATATTCAGCCAGGATCATTTGGCAGAGTTTTCTGCCAGAGTTTTGAAAACTGGTATATAAATAGTCTATGGAATGTGCAATTGTCTTCAATATATTTTTATTATGGAAAAGCAAATATTCTTTTCAAAACACATAAACTGAAAATAGCAAATTGAAAAGAATGCCTCAAGACCTTTTTGTATCTTTCATTTGCCCAGGTCTCACCTGCCTGCGGAGGTCTCTGGTCCTCTTGCACATACTGTCTATGGCAACATTCAGGGCATTGCTCCTCTCTGCCTTGTCAGTCTGCAATCAGAGGGACAGAAAACAATCAGTGCTGCCTGGGACCCCTCAGCAAGCACATCCTTTGTGTCCCCAGAAAGAGCATCAGAGCATTTGGTAAGTCATACATGTTGAAGGATTTTTCAAATTTTTCATACATTTCAGGAGCCAGTACCACAATGTCCACAGAATGCCAATTTGTGATGTTAAGCATAATTTGCTGAATCAAAACTTGTGCTTTAAAAGCAGTATACAGGAACAAAACAAACACTTGTTAACCTCTGAATTGCTGTAATACTCCCAGTGTAATCAGCAACATGAACAGAATTATGATGATAGTGACGATGATGATGATGATTAATAACAGTAATAACAACAACGACAACAGTAATATTTATGGCAATCCATTAACACCCTATTCATGTGAAAAATAATGCTCTCTCTGTCTACAAACAGTGTATAAATTCAGGTGCCCACAAGGCAGTGTGGTTATGCTTTTGTCGGTAGTGTTCATTTTCCTTCTGTAAAACAGAATGGCTGAGTTTCAAAATGTCCAAGCTGGTGCAATGCAAACACTGCCCATGAAAGGGCAACCTCTTCATCCCACAGCACACTCAGCCTCAGCATCCAGAAGATTGAGCTCCTGAGATATTTGAGAGGTCTGAAGAGAACCGGTTTTACTTTGTAAACAATTTGAATTTTTTTATTTCCCCCTAAAGCAAAGTGCTTCTATCATGGTTGCCTATTTGAAAAGTGTACTTCACCCTTCACTCAGCCTTTTTTCCCTGCAACATCACCGTAATATTTCTGTGCCTACTAGCTGGTTAGGATTTTTTTTTTCCTGTTAGTACAGAAACAACATGAAAATACAAAACGTGTGATGAACTTTGCTTGCCTAAAGCAAGCTATCACTGCTGACTGCCTTGGACTGCCCTGGCCTAAAGGAAGGAACCACAAACAGTGGTGTTGACACACAGCCAGCACACATGACATTTCCAGCACAAAGAACCAGGCTCTCATAAATGCTAAGCAATAGCTATGAACAATGACCACAGCATCTACCAAACACCAGAAGTCTTTATTATGGACATGCCTGTGTTATTATATAAATAACATTAAAATTAATATGGAAGTAGTAATATCATGGTAGGCACCCAAGAGTACAAGCTTATTATCTATGTATCATACTTCAACCAGAGTTCTTCCCTTACTAAAGAAACCTGTGAACAGGACAATACGCTTAATATTAAAACTAAGACTAGAGGTGGCAAGAAAAGAACTCTTACATTAAAATGGAATGTGCAATGTCATAAATGCCTTGAAATTATTGGCCCATTCTGTATCAACTGAAAGGAAAAACCACTTTAAAAACTGGACTAGTATTTTCAGGGAGATTTAGAAAATCTCCTATGATTTCTGTCTCTGAACTGGCTGTAGCCTTTGCAGGGAATAGATGATCAAAACCAGGTCTTGGAGAAAGGTCTGAACTTCACCTTAAAACCTTCAAGGAATCCCTGGAGGTGGATACTCACTTTTGTTCCACAGCAATGCCATCATTTCTGGTACCAAGGCTTGCACAGGAACCAAAGTAAATAAAGACTCCTCTATTATGCTTTGCAAGCTCTTGTCAACCTTGACAACAAAATGATCCCTTCTGAACTGCCAGGTAAACAGGGCCAGGAAAAACTCAGTGGATACAACTCAGCTTATGCCTGTGTATTTTCAGACTACAAACCGCACTGGCATATCCTTTGAAAGTTTTATATTTAGAGCCTATTTTTCTATAAAGACAAAATCATTGCAAAATACTGGGATATTTTTCAAATTCCCTGGTAATCTGTAACTTCAAAGGTGGCCACTAATGATACAACTGGCTTTCAGCTAACCTAAACCTTTGAAGCAGCTATTCTGAAATAACCTCAGGCAGCAAGTGGCATAAAATATTGAGCAGTGAACAAGACAAAAATACTTTATTTTCAAATTCTTAACATAATGTCTAGAAAGTAAATCTAACTATAGATGAAGTTATTCTTCACCTCATGATTTCCCTAAGAAATAAAACACACTACAAATGCACTGTAAATGCAGCTTCAGGCTGTAGAATATGGAAAGTCCAGACTGCAGGTAACCTCATTACTGCAGACTCTCATTCTTCCCTGGAGAAACTTAAACACCAAAAACCTCGCTCTTCTGTTTGGATAAATCCTACTTACAAAGGCTTCTAAACCATGTGCAGTCTTTTGCAGTCAGGGGAACAGCTGGCTACAGAGTCTCCTGTGGGAACACTCTGGAACACCAGCGGCCCCAAGCTGCCTCCTCCTGCCTCTCCCAGGTGAAGCCCCTGGCCCTGGGGAGCTGCAGTCCCCCCGTGGGTGGGTGGGTGCTCCCTGCAGACTCACACATTTCACCTGGATGTGACAGCACAGCCCCACAGCTACACCAGATGGTTCCACTCCTGAATAACCAAAAATAGCAGATTTGACAAATGTCCATTGAACTGCTGGCACAGGTGAGCCCCTCCACACCCAGCAGAGTGCAGCTGTCCCACTCCCCAGTGATGGAACCCACACGTCTGGACCTGAAATCCTCTGCATCTGCTTGGCAATTAAATCCTTCTGGCGACTGCTGTACTTCAAACCAACACACCTGTGCTGAAACAGTTCCTCCTTGTACAGAGTGATTGAATTAGGAAAAGGGTTAGGAAAATTATGCACATTATTCTGGGGATGGATTTTTAAAATCAGGCAGTTGAGCCTTTCAGTTATCCTGCACTCACCTCTCCGTTCTCAGCCTGCTGTCTCTGCCCGGTCAGGCGTAGGGTGGCCTTGGGACAGCCCGCGCTCCAAAGGACGAGAGCACTCCTCAGGCTTTTCGGTCTTCAATATTGTTTATTAATTCTTATCTACAAAGTTGTCTCCCAGCCTGACAGAGGTCTGCCCAGCAAGACAGCCATGGGCACACTGACCTCCCACTGGGCAGTCGTCTATTTTTATACTAAAAACTACCTATAAGATATTTACCTTTACCTTCCAATGCCTTTTACCCTTATTAACAAGTGCACATTTAGTGTGAACCAATCCCAAAGTGCCAGCATCACCACCAAAGATGGATGACAAGAAGAAGAGGAGAAGGACAAGACACGCCCCGATTCCTCCTTGTCTTGTCTCCTCAAAACCCCCCTGTACCAAGATCCCAAAACCTGAGTTTTCACCCTGTGAATAATCAATTCCTTCACCATTTATCCCCAAGTGACTCTCTTGTCCTCAAACAGGTGGCACATCCCGTGCAGGGTCAAAATCCAACCACCAAGCACTCCTGGCAACATTCCAGGATTTCCGAGCCCCCCAGGGGTTACCTCGGCAACTCTGGACATCAGGAGTGACGTGCTGAGTTCCCACACTCACCTACTGTTCTTTCCTGTAAAATATATGTAATACCTACAAGCTATATGGCTCCCTTGTGAAGATCCTAAAAGCAATATCCAGTTCCTATTTCAATGCATTTTTAGCATTTGAAACATTTTACAAGCACGAAGACACAGTGTTATTAATATTCCACTGAGTGGAAATAAGTATTTTTAATTAACACTGGAGAGCCTGAAGATAAATGCTGAGTACTGCAAATAATACAGGCCCATCCATTTCACACACTGGCAAACAGCATTAGTTGAATGTCTCAGAAACCACATGTGCAGCAAATCTTTGCTGCTGGATTTCCATTTAAAGCAGGACACAGGTAGGGGCAGATCCTCAGCTGAAACACGTGGCCCCTTCACCACTGGCTGTGATGGAGCTCATTTCCAGCAGCAGGGGATTGTGACAAGGCCAGGCACTGCACAGACCCTTACACAGGTGCAAACCACAACACCTGCCCAGCCCTGCAGGGCTCAGAGCCAGCCTGAGCCAAGCCTGTGGGGCCTTGCCAACAGCTGCCAGCAGCCACAGGGACTGCAGGGATCCCACAAGCTCCAGACTTTGTGCAGCTGATCTTAAAGGACAATACAGACACTCTGAGAAGGGTTTTATTTTCACTTTGTTGATACTTCTGAAAGGCCACAAATGTTTACCTGACAGCTGCACTGATCAGTAGCACAACAAAGATATGGGCAGAACTACTTGAGTGATCATCTAATCTCTTCTAGTACCTAGGCCAATATTCCCATATTTAAAGGTCTGTGGCCAGAAGTTAAGCATATGTTTTGTTTGTTCCCAAATAGTCATTGAACAATCCTGGGAGGAAAAAACAGAAAAAAAATCCAATCTTCTAGCATGATTTTCCTTTGCATTTCCCACAATGACAGAATGGTTTGGGTTGGAAGGGATTTCCAAGCCCATCTCATTCCAAGCCCCTGCCATGGCAGGGACACCTCCCACTGTGCCAGGCTGCTCCAATCCCATCCAGCCTGGCCCTGGGCACTGCCAGGGATCCAGGGGCAGCCACAGCTGCTCTGGGCACCCGTGCCAGGGCCTCAGCACCCTCACAGGGAAGAATTTCCTCCCTGGATCTGGGCTAAGCCTGCCCTCTGTCAATTGTCCCCAGCAGCTGTACCATGACTCTCTGCTGAACAGGTTTTGATATAGTTCTATGTACCCAAGAACAGTTTTAGTTAAAATAAGACTAGCACATTTATCAAAATCAGTTCTCTAGAGAAATATTAAAAAAAGCCAAGCTAAAAGGTAAACACACCAATCAATACTACAATAACTTAAGAAATGTCAGAGTTCCAATGAAGTGATTGACTGTTTCAGCCTCTGTGTTGACTGCAAATAATCCTACACTCAGCAATTAGAGGGTCCTGTTCTTTGCACCTTAATTAAATAGAAACCAAAAAACAAACTCTCACACAGCTTAGGTAGGACATTAAAGCAAAGTCACAGCCTCTACAAAGACACCAAGCATTTTATGTCTCTTGTTACAACCGAGCATGTAACATATCATGGTTTATTTTTTTGCATATTTAATTTATAAATGGTTGTTCTTTTGATTTATAAAGTCCCTGTGAATTCTAATCAAAA